GACCTCAATTCCAGTGTTCCAATAAAATGATCAACGGCATATGCAGTCACGCCATCTAAAATCCGATTCCCATGGTATGTGATGATGTGTGAAGGCTAGATGTGACCATTGCACTGTCTCTTTTGCCAACCAACTAAGAAAAGACAAACGAAAAAGAAAATCTGTTGTGACAAGTGTATTGTAGTGTATGTATAGGTCGGTAAGGTGTATTAATTTAGTATTCCCTTCCACATTCCCGGGCGAAAAGCTGGGTGCAGATTTGCTTGAGAAAGTCCTCGAGCAGCTTCTGTCGCACAACAAATTCTCTTTCTTCCAGACGATGCCGCTGGCATTATTTGCACATCACTAGCATGTCCACCTGACTTGGCCAAAACATGTGCCATACCCCCGGTCATCAACAGTTCTCGTACGTTATCATGAAGAGAAGCTTCAAGTGAATGAGTCCTACTTCGTTTAGCACCAGCTTTGTTAGATGTATGCGCGGGTTTGTTATCAACTCTGTTAGCAACTCTGTTAGATGAGTCCACAGATACAGATCGACGGTGCAATTCGTATAAAGTTCGTGCGGCTTCACCTAATGCATCGGCCCCAACTTCGTCGTCGCTTTCACACAATTCCGCCACTGTCACAACAACATTCCTATTCTTCTTCTCACTACACAACTTCGCATATCGACAACGCGCCTGGACATCCAGCTTTGCTGAGACCGGCGCACTCGTCAATGACGATGCAGATGAGATTGAAGATGAACGAGATGTTCTTGATGAAGTATCCGAAACCATTGATTCTGGCGAAGACATCGACGAGACCGAGTTGGCCAAGGATGATCGACGATTGCAGGAATAACCTTGTGGAGATGAGGTCAATTGGCTTGCCCACTTTTCAGTCGCTTGCGGGCCGCAGAAATTTGTCTGTGCCATAGCGAGACTCATTGATGGTTTGCCGAGCATGTAAGATGAAGCACTCACAGCAGGAGTGTTGTATCCAGTACTCTGGGGAGTCATTCGTGGAGTGGGGAGAAGGCCAAGAGCCGGGACAGGTCTAACAGTTGGATAAGTGGCTGATGGTGATGGCTCCATGATTTTAGGTGAATAATGCTTTGGAGACGAGGTGGGCTCATTGGAACCTGCAAAATGATATGCAGACAATGGTGTGAAAGGTCTCAATGGAAGAACACAAACTTCTTTGCGAGGGCTCGTGATTTCGTTCATGTTATCCAATTCCGGGTTGAGCTGGAGAACGATTCGTTTCCACTCAACAGATTGTTCTGCGATACTTAAAGTAGAGGCTCCTGGAGATGGAGGCTGCGACGATGGTGTGTAGTTCAAGACAATGTCAGTCCAACGTTGAAAAACTTTTTCGGTAATGTGCAACTCCCACTTCACAGCAAGGAGGAATGCTATTTCGTTTTGATTAATTTCCAAAGTGGGTAGTCCAGAAATCTTACTCCAAGCGCGAGACGAATAATTTCTATCTTGCAGATATTTCGATGCGAGAATAAGCGCAGATAAGAACATTCGTCGACCACATTGTAAAGCCCGGAATGATTGAGTATCATCTGCTTGCTCCATGGTGAAATCGGTCTTTGGCACAAACGGTTTGATCAAGATCAGGTAGTACAAAGCGACTTGAAGAGTCGAGTAGCTGGTCCTTGATCTTCTCAAAGTTTCTTGTATGAAGATGCGCAGAGGGAGGACACCTTTACCCATTTCACTTCTACAAGCGACGGTTGAAAGGGGCCATATGGCTTCGACAATCAAAGCCGAAGAATCTGGGGAGTGGTTGAGCGCATGGACTTGGGAATCATCAGGAATTCATGATAAGCTTACCGACGAGGCTGTCAACAAAATTGACCTTGCGATCAACTTGACGTATCAGGGTAGGAGGACGACCTGTGCGGGTACTAGATCCGACACTGGTCCTTCTTGGGTTCTGCCTTTCTTCTGGGGCGATTTCCACTGGTAACCTTTGTTGTGGCCAAAATTTTGTAATGTTATTTTTTTCGCAGATATCGACTGCTATGGCAGGAAGGGGTAGTTGATTTGCGCAGAAATATGAAAGCTCGGAATCGGAGGATGCGCTTGTGATGGAAGAGTTGTCCGATGCTTGTGAAGCTGCATCGGACCAAACTGAAGAAGTAGAGGAAGAAGCCGACGAGGCTATAGAGGAACTGTAAGGACCATTGTGAAATGAGGAGTAAGGCGACGAATCATCTTCGCCGCAATGCATCTTCGAAGTGTTTTGAATGTATTTGGAGTATTTTGTAAGTAAATCGGAAATGAAAAAGTTCTATGCGGAATAAAACTCCAGTCGCCGTCTGTACAAAGCCAAAATCTAGATTATAACGTGATGGACTATTCCCAAGAACCTTCTGACGAGATACAGGCTCGTGCAACAACGCGGTGATTATTGCAAAAGCTAGATGATCGAGGTAGGAGGAGGGTAAGACTAGTTTGGAGAAGAGATCGCGATGATTTCTTCAGGAACGATATAACCGGTAGATTTGGACGATGTAAGACTGGCGACTGGGGAGAAAATTGAAAGACCTAAGAGCATGTTGACCTTTCCGTTTTGTGAAATGGTAACTGATGTGATAAATGGTGGGCTAGTTTATTGGGTAAACCAGCGTCCCATGAAAGGTCGCGACGTGGGACGAAATGGTAAGGGTGTGGGTGTGTGTGTGTGTGTGTATATCAAGCGTAGGTTTGAGAAACGTATGTCTTTTATGAAAGTGTGGAATGAAGCATTCGAAATATGTTTGTACTGTACTGTGTGTAGATGTGCGATTGTCTTCGCGATTGGTAGTAAAAGGAAAGTCGAGGGTTATAAACCGATGGTTGTCATTGAACAAAGGATTGAGTGGAGTGAGTAATGCGTTTGTGAATAGGATGAAGAGGCGAAGATTGCGAGAGGCGACAGAGACTAAAAAAGTTTAGGCTCGAAGTATGAGTCTTTCCTTTCCTTTCCTTTCCTTTTTTTTTCTTTTCCCTTTTAATAAACCTATTGAAGACTCAGAAGTCACGATGGGATTATTTAAAGTGAAGAAGAGAAGAGAGGATGGATGATCTTTTTGTTCTTTTTTAAGATCAGGTTAACATTTGACTCTTTTTTATGAAATATAATATGTCGATAAAGTGTTCAAGGTGAGGCTGTGAGTCTTAGGTAGGTATGGGAGATTGATATGGGTGGGTGGTACCTTTTTAGGTGTCCAGTTGTTTGTTGATGGGGTTATGACTGGTTCTAGTGGCAAGACTGGATGATCCACAAATAAAGTTAAAGCTGGTATCGTATCGTAGACTGACTGTAGTGAGTAATAAAGTGTATACGGAAGTCTTGGTAGGTGGGTGTTGAGATGTGTAGGTGTTTAGGTGTTTAAGTGTTTAGTACTTGGGTAGAGAATTCGTCGGTAGTGAATCAATCTTATGTATAACCAGCCAAGGTCAAGTTTCGCCTCCAGAAAGAATTTAGAGCTGGGTCTGAATGATGACTGATGACGGATGGACGGATGGAGGAGGTATTTTATTGATGGTTTGATGCTTTAATCAAAGGTCAATCAAATACAATGAATAATAAAATCAATCAATCAATCAATTAACAAGAAATCTCGTGATCTCTTTGCTCTTTGGATGAAGTGAATGGGTAATAAAGTAATAATAATAATAACAGTAATAATAATAATAATAGTAATAATAATTAGGTAGAAATGAGGAAAAATGGTATAACAAAAAAGATGAGATCGTGAGTCGTGGGCAAAATGGAGATTGAGTTGAGATTGAGTTGAGATTGAGTTGAGATTGAGATTGACGCCTGTTGCTGGATGGATGGCTGGATGAATTAGGATTTGAATGGGGTGGGATGGGATGAGATAAGACGAGACGAGACGAGACGAGATTACTGTCGGTATGAGTCGAATATGGATGAAAGATTCCGACTGATGAAGTGGTCAAACTTTGGGGGAGGCGGGCAGGCGAAAATAAAGGTCAGTCAACCACTCACTAACTTGGGGTATGTGGTCGCAGAAACAGGCAGGCTGACTTGGGTTTGACTTTGGGCGGCTAAGATGATTTATGAGGTGAGGTGAGGTAAGGTGAGGTGAGGTGTAGGAAACCGAAACCGTGTAGTTGATGTGTACGAACTTCGAAGGAGGTAGCTAGATATGTAGGTATCATACGAATTGAGCCGTGGATCTGTGAAACCGTAGTCTTCAAGAATGAGAGGTCGATCGAGGAGGTGATAATAGACGGGAGAATTAAGAGGCCAGATGAAGAAACTCCTCAAAGGTAGAATAGAGGTGAAGAATAAAGTGTATAATGAATCCTATAAAGACAAACAGACAAGCAAACAAACCGACAACGTTGCTCTTTTTTTCCTTTTCCTTTTCCTTTTCCTTTTTTTTATGCTTTTACTTGCCCTTTTAGATCTTTTTTTCTTCTAAACAGAATTTTTATATGTGAATGAGTTGAGATTGGATTGGATGTAATAAAATGTTTTTGGTTTTCGATAAGAATTTGTGCAGACTTCAAGGAGCCGCCGACTTAAAAGTTTCTGGAATCATACATGTTGACGATGAAGAGGGAAGAATTCTTTCATTACGGACGGGCATGGCTGCTGTTTTGTTACAATTCCTACGGCTGCGAACATGGTTATGATTATGTTTAGCTAATGAGATTTGTGCTTCCATTCGATCCCATCTGAATGGTCCAGTCTCTTTGCATGGCAGCACCGACAATGATTACGGAGAAGTAAAGGAACCAGATGGTTTTCTTGCACACCATCATCCAACCAGCTATAGGTACGGAAAAGATATGACTGATGAAGGGATGTGATGGAGAGACAAGGATAACTCAACCCCCCGACGAAAAAAAAAGTATCGAGATGGATGTGTGTGGGCACGCACTGGCTCGCTGGGGAGAGAGAATTACAGAGCAGATGTAAGAAGTTGCAAGCAATGTGCATCGATGAGTCTTAGCATTTGTTATTTTCCATTTTCTACAAATCATATGCATGGATTCATCGCCAATTTCAACGCCATTTCAGCCAAATCATCAGCCAACCGAGAATCACACAGTAGAACAGGGAGAAAGCCCCCGAATCGAGAAAAGCAAGCAAGCAAGCAAGCAAGCAAGCAAGCAGGCATGAGAGAAGAGAGAAGAAAGACGAAAGAAGAAAATATGGTGGTCATTCTGGTGGTGGACGGGACAGCCCATGACAAACAACGAGTTGACGATTGATTGATAAAGAAAGAAAACAACGTTGAAATGCTTTAGATTCGATATGGTCATAGTCCTAATGGCGATAGTACTCGATTCAGTGTACGACTGAGTATTAGAGTCTAGCCGTGTCTTTCATCCTCTACCATTCCACACATGATGCGAAGAGAATATATTATCCCAAGAACAGAAGCGATAACTCCGAACCACCAAATGATATGCTTTCATGCTTCACGCCCCATTCATGGCTACCCTTCTCTCTGAGATCAAACGCCTACAGTACCTACTTCTAATGACTAGGGATGTCGTGCAGAATATGCAGTGTTCCGCTACTTCAAATGACATGATATGATATGATTATCACGAAGTGTAATTAAGAATTTCAAAGTAGTGTGTCTGCTTGTTAAGCATCTGATGATGGATTACGGAGTACGCCCGCCTGCCAACATCCCCCGATTCATCCGGCTGTATGCTGGCCGTATTAAGCCTTGCACAGGACTGGAGATATTCATCGCTCAGCCCGTCTCGACAGTCACAATCAACCGATGATGAATATCGTACACAGCCTTGCAATCAATCAATCAATCAATCAATGAATCCATCTATCCATCCATCCATCTATCAATCAGATGCCTTCCAAGAGACTCGCAACGCAGGAAAACCCGGCCGAGCTAGCTCAAAAGATAGAGAGAGCATCATCTATCTACCTAGGCACTGTACTATCCTATACGGAGTATCGGCAATTGTGATCTGGGTGTGGGGTGAATATCTCATAAGTTATAACAGAAAGGAAATTTCAAATTACAGTAGGAGTCGGACTATCCCATGCATAGATCATCCATTGTGCTGTGCGGCGTGGCTTTGATACGGAGAATCGACACACCTAGGCACAAGTGATTTCCTCAGCCTCTTCGCAATTGCGCATTCCAACTCGGTACTTCCGTTTGCCCATGCTGACCCAGAGTCTAGAGGTTCGAATCAATTTATAAGATCAAAGACGGCGGTTATTATCGCCGATGGAATATGAAATGATGAATTTCAAATTTAGATTTCGCTAATTGCCACCGTCATTGCGATTCTCTTACGATCATCACCTGGGCATTCGTATCAAGTATTACCTAAGGTAATCGGGAAAATGGCGGTAGAATTATTACTCACACCAACTTTTGGGCCTTCTCACAAGTTACCACCACCCCTCATTCATAGTCTCACCCGTCTTGGGATTCCCAAGTTGGGATTTATATCATGCAGGAAAGCAAAATAGATGCAACACAAAGACCCGGCAAAATAAACCCAGAAGCGAGCGAAAAGTAATTGGATACGACTTGCACTCTTCCCTAGCCGTGTCGCTTCCGGTATCATCACCAGTTTCATGACCTTATTGTCACACACCCGGACATCACTCAGCGATATTCATCAGCCCCCTCTAAATATGGAGGAAAGGAAAGACCAAAGACAATGTGTGAAGGAATTTATATTCAGCCTTTCGAATCATTCGCATCTCTCACATCCAAATCCTAGAGATCCATAAGCGTAGTCAGTAGTAATTCTCGATGAGATCGAATCTGGTATGTCATCAGCCGAGTGATCTCAGAAGCAAAGGCTTTTTAACAGAGGTGTTGATAGCAAATAGGAGAATATCCCCATACACATTTAAACAGTAATAATACCCATGAAGCACACGACCAATGACCGTGTCCAACATATCTCCCACCTTATCCGGAGCTCACATCTTGATTGGTTTGGCGACGACAAGTACATAAGCATGCAGTAGCAGCTTGCTTGGATGGCTTTTTTTCATGCTCGTTTCCGGCGTTGTGATTACGGGCTGCAGGATTCCTTCACAGACCTCCATGAAGGAAAGTGGGTGTCCGCTTTCCCCTCATGGAATCGAGAGAAGTGGAAAATTCGAGATATTTCGTTTTGTTTGTTTATCATTCCGCTCCAATGTGTATGTACCATGTTACCGTTACCGTTTGTACCCAAGATACAAGATCCCTTTGAGAAATTTCCATCTCGCCAATTGCATCAAATCTGGAATCTGGAATTGGGGTAAGAAAATCCCACTTCTGAGTTCTCACCCTCACCCTCACTCTCACTTCATTAACACCGACGGCCCAAAATGAGATTCCTCCATCGATTTTGGGTATCAGTATCCGGAAATCCATCGATGAGTCAATTCCATTCACTCCAGGCTGCAAAATAAAGGCGTTGGACAGAAATGTCCGAGCTTCTCGATTATGTGCTCAGTCAATCTTTCTCCTTTGATCTCGTTCATCATGCGCTTGTTCTTGTCATGGTGATACCATACGAGGGTACTCTACACTAGCTAGTACGGAGGATACATCACGAGAGCTTCATTTCCAATCCAATTGGGATGAGACAACGAAGCGCGAGAAGAATGTTCGGGAGTCCCTTGGGCTTGACCGTAACAACGACGGTAACAACGAATGTCAGTGTGTGTCAGTCATCAGGTGACCACCACTCAAGTAAACACATCATCAAATGTAAAACATGGACGTGGAGAGAGGCAGATGCAGATGCAGATAGAGATTGAGTGGTGGATGGAATTTCCAAGGACATGGGTGGTAATGATGAAGGATCTTCCCACTTCAGTGGCATCCCCGCGTTCGGTGTTGGGCATTACCATAGGAACGGAGGTTCCGTTATTGGAGGGGTGCGAAATTCCTCTCGGAAAAGGTAAGGTAAGGTCAGTCATCGGTCACGCTTTCACTGCCCTGGTCGGTGGTAGCTGAGCGATAGATACGACCACGGTCAAGGACATCGATCACTAAAAACCAATCCGAGTCTCGAATCCAAGATCAAGCTTGAATGAGCTAACGGGGCTTTCCTTGTTAAATCATTGAGTGGAGGAGCTGGATTGAAGAATTCAGAAACGCTAAGAGTACGAAGTATCTAGTTTCATCGTACTAATAATAAATACCTACTACTCTCTAGAATCCGACTGTCCTAGTCTGTAGTTTCCTCGCGTCCTAGACACTCAAGTCCCTAGGTATTGTGATTCGTGAACACACCGAGAAACTCCGTCAATTTCGATTTGACTCATTCTTTCACCAGCAGACATTCCGAGATTTTTTCGCTTGGGAGATGGACTCGCTGTTGAGTGTTTGGCTATTTTACCATTGATTTTATTAACTACGATGTAAGATCTTAGTGCGGAGTAGACAACAAGTAAGAAGTCATTTCTTTCACTTGGAATTTATCTATCAAACTCATTCTTCACTCACCGTCTCAGTCTGTAAACCCATCTCATCCAATAACAATATAGTATATAAAGAATATAAAGATCTCCTATAAAAAATACAGAGTGACTGACCAGCACAGTGCTCTCTCTGTACAGCCAGCACAAAGACTCAAAATCTACAGAGTAATAGTGAGCAAAGCACGAAATAGGTTTCTCATGAAACGCATTTCCAGGATGCGACCTCCCTCTCGGTTTGAACAGGTAGAGATGGAAAGGGAAATCTTCTAGAAAAAAGATAGTGAGTTGTTAGTGGCAATGCCAAGGTTTGAAAACCTGCGTGCATTAGGGAGGGGATTAGTGGATGGGTAAGGTTATTGGATGGAGGATGAATGGTGCATGGATGTATGAATGCGGTGATGGCGGAAGTCGAAATTACCTAGGTGGATTGATTGGGTAGGTGTAGAGTGAGTTGTAGGGTGGACTGTTGATATGAGAAATGTACGAAGTAGTTTGGCTCGGGACCTCGGAGTTGGGTAGGGAAGAATAGATTTGTGATAGGAGTATTGATTTATGATAGCTGTTAGGTGTCTAGATACTATTGTTGTTTAGAGATATGTTGGTATATTTATATTTATATTAGTATTCATATTCATATCTCGATGAAAATGATATACTCATTAATTTATCTATCTATCTTCCTCCCTCTGTTAATCTATCTTCATCCATCTATTGAATCTATCAAATACATACTAGATAAGTAAGTAATAAACCAGGATTCAATCCTTCCTTCTCTTCTCGAAGCTTGGAATAAAAATTCCTCGGTTACTGGGACGGTTGCCTGCTGCCTAGGTGTGCTACCGAAAGCGGCAGCCCGGTTTGAATTAGCTAGCCAGCCAGTCAGTTTCTTTATCCAAATTACGACGTACTCAATGCCAGCCGTGTCGAGTGTCGAGTGTTAAGTGTTTAAGTGTCTAGTGTCCGAGCTGCTGGGTTGGGGATGGGGAATGGGGGGGAGGGGGGTTGGTAATGGGGATTGAGTAGATTTAGAAGGGAGATGGGTATTGTATTGTATTGGGCAGGGAGAAGAGACACGCAAGCAAGCAAGAAAGAAAAACATGTGCTGAACGCCACTGCTTGCTTGGAGCGCGTGGAAAATGGATTGTGTGTGCATGGATGGATGAAGGGATGAAGTGAGGGATGAGATTGATAGGCTTGCTTTCATATCAGGCTGAAGATAAATAGATGAAGTCATTTATTTCTTTTTCTTGGGTCATTACTAGGTAGCCTTGAAGTAAGAAGGAAGCCTTAGGTTTGGTCGGTGAGGTAGGTAAGGTAAGGCAGGACAAGACAAGACAAGACAAGACAAGGCAAAGCAAGGCTATGATCTGCCTACATTCAACTCATACAATGCAAGCATCTCAGATTTACCTCCATCCTTCCATTCCTTCTCTCCACCGTCTTTTTGCTAGCTACCTAGATACCTATTATTCGGAAAAGTTTTCAGATACACACATATCATATTATATCATATCCCAAGCTCAGATCCAATCCCATCAGCCGATGCTTATCCGTCTGCCTATTCCCCTCTCATTGCCCCCACCCACCAATTTCTTCATCTCATTTCCAAATGTCTCACGCTTGAATAAAATCAGATCATACAATACTCACAAACTACAACTTACATCACATCACATCACATGTTTTCGCGCCCAGAGGATCATCAAACAGGTGATAACGTGTCATTTTGTTTCTTCTCGTGTCGTCTCGTATCCTATCGTGTTGTTGAGTCATAGGTAGGGAGTGAGACTAGCTTAGT